ACAAGCATTTAAAGCTCAAGATTCTAGAGTTTCAGCATACTTATTCCATCTTAAATTGTTTGTAAAAATAACACCTAAAAACTTTACAGAGCTCTCTACAGACATTACATTATTATTGAACAAAATATTTACATTCCCATTTTTTTTATTCCATTTTTTGAAAAGACAACAACTTTACTTTTTCATCGCTGACCTCCAACCCAAGTCTGAGTTAAATTTAGCTGATGTATGAATAGGATAAAAAGCAGTGGGCTCAATACACCACCCTATGATACACACTTACAAGAATATCTTGGACCAAATAACTGATTGTTAACCTTAACAAACATCTTTCTGTAGTTCAAAAAATTAAAAATCCAATTTACAACTTTTCCAGGTACCTGTAGTAATAACAATATTGAGGATAATTTGTTCAGATCTACATTATTGAAGCCCCTACAATGTCAAGAAAAACACCAACTAGTACTTTATTCTTGGAGCGAGCATCATGGATATACAGACAGAAATGACATAGACTCTCACAAGCAGAACGGCCACAATGAAAACCAAACTGATTGTAAGGTAAAAGATTATTACTTTCTATGTGAAAAATTAGTCTCTGTTTTATTAATTATTCGAAAATTTTTCCAACACATGAACTCAGTGTAATAGGACAATAAGAATCAGCCAAATTAAAGTCTTTGTCAGGTTTTAATATTGGTATCAAACAGTCAGTTTTCCAATCCTCTGGGATAATAGAAGATGACCATAAACTATTTAATAAATTTAAAAAAATAGATAGAGTTTAAACATTTAAAAGTTTAAACATTCTGTAGGAAAGCCAATCCAGGCCATGTGAAGAATCTTTTCTTGAGGCTAAAGCAGATTTTAACCCTTGCATAGTAAAACAACCGATCATGTATGAATTATCACTATTTACTCCAATAACATTATCTATACCTATTTGTTGTGAAACAGTATCCGGTGTGTATTTATATAAAAATGTTTGAACCCAATTGAGGTCAGAAAATAAGTTAGAACTCGGAAAGCTTTTTTTGAATTTTCTTTTTTTAGTCCAAATGCGATTTATAGATTTCAAACGATTTATTGACAAGCAGAATTCAGACCAACTTTTACAACGTTCTTCTTTTAAAGTGAGTTTTTTAAAGGCTAGTGCGCGTTTAAAATTAATGTAATTTTTACTATTAAGACTAGTTTTGAAATAATTTGAAATTTACTACTTACTTACTTTACTTTTGAACATTTATCATTCCACCAAGGTACTTGACACCTTTTTCTAGGATGGTTATTATTACTATCAGTTGTGTTATGGTTTAAGCTGGGCCCGGAGAATTCGATTGCCAATAGAATAATGGAACAAAACTTTCTGTATGAGTCAAGGAGATCACTATTGTCGACGTTAAAGTTCATTAACATTTTATTAACAATTTGTTCATAACTATCCCAATTTACTAATTTCAGATTGCTGTGAAAAGGAATGTTGTTCAAGGAAATAGAGGGCTCATGTTGATCTCTTACAAGAGTAAATTTTGTGATAGTTGGCAGATGATAACTGCCTAAAGGGTCCTGATGAACTTGCCAGTCACAAGAAAGAAATAAAGAAGAAGACACCATAGTTAAGATTTAACTACTGTTTGGTTTCCAAATATAGTTGTTGGTTGATCATTGTTTAAAAGTATTAAATCATGGTCATCCATGGAATACATAATAGCTTTGCCCCAAGAATCTATGCGACTGCAACTGCAACTAAGCCTTTTCAAAAGCAGGAAAACTATTACCAGGACTGTAAAAACTTACCAAAGAAATGCATTTATGTTTGAGTTTAATAATAATTACAACATTTTGTAACGAATCGTCATAGAAAGTATCTAGTTAAGAGAAATGTATACCATTTTTAATTGATATTGCTACGCCATTATGATTTTTACCGCAGTCATTCCTAATAATGGTATAACCACGTAAATTAAATTGAATATTAGGCTTGAGCCAAGTTTCTGAAATAAGAGCTACATGTATATTATTTTGGTATAAAAAATTTTGAAACTCAAGTCTGTTACTTAACAGACTTTGAGTGTTCCACTGTACAATATTTAAGATTTGGTGGTTGAATATAATGGTTTGCTATTTTTATCCTGTATGGTTTCTTTAATAGCTGAGCTAATAAATTGTGAACTAATACTTATATTTTGAGTTTTATTTAGAGTAATAACTTTTACTATAGATTCTGTTAATAGGGTCATTGCTTCAGAATTTGATAGTATTGCTTGGATTACTTCTTGGGTATTTAATTTTTTATTAAGAGAGGGAAAATTTAATGAATCTTTTAACATGTCAGCATATGACTTGGGTTAACTGTTTGCGATTTTCTTTTGCCTTATAGGGCACTGGCTAGAGATGGCAATGTGATTGCCATTACAATTAATGCACTTAGCTTTTTCAATTTTTCAGCTTAGCTTTTTCAAAGTTTCAATTCCCGCGCTCTTTTTCTCAACAGAGACAAAACAGTTCATTGTTAAAACTATTTACAATTTAAAATTTGATAATTTTAAAGCTGTACAAATACAATATGTAAATACAATAATATACCAGGTGTAAAAACTCAAACGATAAATTATTATTTAAATCGGTAACAGAGGGCGTATGTCTACATCAAATTATATGTTTGATATTAATCACAGAGAGATGGCGCTTCATGTTTGAAGTAAAAAGTTTGCTTCCTCATAGTACGGAAAGATGGCGCTTTGCTCTTCGTTAATTAAATACTGTTAGATCATACGCCTGGGCCCTGACCGAGTTTCTTAAGAGTGTTCTAAAAAGATTTAGTTTAAGAATTCATTACGAGATGGCGCTTTAAGGAATTTAGGGTTTGGGTCCCAATATGTAATTGTAAAGTTAAATTTAAATTTAAATATATATTTAAAAAAACCTCAGTTAGTTTAGATGAATTGTTTGCACCGTTTTAGCTACGCGTTCCAGCCATAGTTCCTATCTGTTTTTTGTATTAAGCGGAAGACGCGAGGTCGCGCTTCCGTGACATAACGCATTAACCGTGACCATTTACTATTGACACCCACGACGACTGATGACCGTTAAAAGACGCGCTGGGTGCTCGCTGGATGCTCACTTCAAATGTAACATTTCATGAAAATATATATTCATATATATCTTTGCTTCTTGTGATACGGAGTTTGAAGCCCCTCGATCTTTTTTAAGGTAATTATTTTAGTGACTCGCAACTAAAGTGCAATAAATGACTGTCATTTTAAAAGATAATGAGAATGATAGATCTGTCCATACTCCGCAGTCATCAGTCCACACTTCACACTACCTTCATAACTCATTCATAATTGCCCGTTTCCACAACGAGGGACGACCGTCACCAACCGTCACTAAGTCTACGTACATTACATTTCCTACTCTGTGGACGAAACGAACACAACAAATATAATGCAATATCTCTTAAAGTACCTACTTCATAATATTGCACTGACTTGATTTCATATACCTACAATAAAAACAAAAGCCTGCGCAACTTTTATTTCAACTCACGGAGCAAGTTTCCTCCGTACAAAGAAAAAAAAAGAATACTTTTAATAAACTAAACCAGTTCAAATAAGTCCTCTCGATATTAACATATCGTACTACAAATTAGTAATTGTCATTGACAGAGGGTATTATATTGGTATGTATAGAAGTCCTATTACATAAAGTGAATACGAGCCGGCGATCGGAAACACAATGAACAATAAGTCATAAACATGAAGCGAGTGCCGCAGGCTACGATACGAGGAGCGACGAGGAGTAACAGACCAAAGACCAGAACAAACACGAACAAATGATCATCAGCCATCAGGACAGATCAAGACGGGTGGACATATGTATATAGGCACTTTGGTTTCATAGAAGAATGTTTTCTCAAATAAAACAGTTACTGCCTGTCTCGTCATGTCTATAAATAAAATAATAAATATTAATATAATTAGTGTAGTTACCTGACTTTAAATATTTAAATATCCATTGAGTGTGTATATTTTCCCGAAGAAGCTATCTAAGATACATGCTACTCGCTAGCGAACAAAGTCAACACACCGACTACACTTTCCATATTTGTTCAACGTTCTTCGTTAACCTAAATTAATATTTTTAATTGATATCTAAACAGATTTCACTAATAAATTTTGTTACTATCAAATAAAAGTAATTTCTAAAATCTATAATTTGGTAAAAGTAATAATATTTCAAAATCATTTCAATAAATCTTTGTTCTAATTTAAATGATAATATGTAAATAACGTGTGGAAGTCTAAGCAACGTGAGTCATCACATTATTCAATAAATCTCCTTATTTTTAGCCGTTTTTTAATAAGGTCAGTTAATGCTATTTAATCGATACAGTAGTTCAATACAATGCTGAATGTATTTAAAACTATTTTCAAGGTTGCTTCAATCCTTATCTAATGAACTACGTTCTTTACCTTATAGTTCCTAACACTACAGGTCATAATTAGATGTAACTCAATGATCTGACACTGAGAAAACTATTTTATGGGATTGTAACAAATAGACAAATAAGAAAAGTTCCTTAATTTCCAATTGCTATGTAACAGCCCGGATAGCTCAGTCGGTAGAGCATTGGACTTTTAATCCAAGGGTCCAGGGTTCAAGTCCCTGTTCGGGCGGGCTAACTTTTTTCGTTTAAAATCACTTTATTCTCCCTTTTTATTTAATATTTATATAGATACTTTATGTTGGAAGTTATATTTATGTATAAATATTTATATCAATATATTTTTTTCTATCCATAAAAAACAATCGCATATTAATTATTATTTAATTGACAGAAAAATATGAAACCATTATAAATGTACATAAAAGTAAATATTTAATTTGAATTGTTGAAATGTTAATAAACTACAATTACCACCTTTTAATTATTAATGTTATAAAAGATAAAGATCTAAACCGTGAGATGTTTAATTCTTATTAATTCATACATAATAATGTTTTTTCTTATTTTCCACATTCCCATCGCGTTGTATCTCCTCCCTGGTGATGTCTCTGCCCTGTCTCCTCTGTCTCCTCCTCCTGTCGTGTGTGTTCCATCAGTTCAGTGTGTATCGTCAGTCATCACCGCCACCCGTCACTACTCACTGCCACTCGCCACTCGTCATTCAGCGGCGAGCGCTCGAGTCGATCGCAAGCCGTCATGTCCGAGCGCTGATCGTCCGCGAACGGTTCACGTAAAATGTGTGGAGGGTCGGTCTCCAACACACGACACTAACATGACGAAATACAAACTGAACAACAACGTGCGCTCCTCCTCCGAGGTGACGCTCACCTCCTACATGACGGGCAGCAGCGAGGGAGAGAGGAGAGACGAGGGGAGGTGTCACACCTGCCCCGACACCTGCCTGTACCTGGACGGGGACAAGAGGTACGACAAGTGTGGCCTCGAGGAGCTGAAGGTGGACACGCTGGCCAGGGGCTGTCTGTGTGAGAGGTACAACGGGGGCTGCAAGCTGTGTCCCGGACAGCGAGCGAGCCTCGCGCCCACACTCACCCTCACTGACGGAGCACACGGCAAGGCCTGCCTCGCCTGCCACGGAGACACATGCGGCACCAGGAACACCTGTGAGTTACCTACCAACAATATATGTACCTAACACCTACTGCCTACTAGCACGAACCGGACCGCGGCCCACAAATGTTTGGATACACTTATGTAATACTGTGGACACTTTTACCATCACAACAAAAACTTACGAGTGAAAGACGACAAGAGAAATCTATGTTCGTGTTCCAAATAAAAGTTTTCGATTTTCAACTCCTTGTAGAATTAGCGTTTTATAGATATTAGAATGTGGACTTATGTTAACGACGTGCGAAACTTATTGTTGACAAAATGTTTTGTTACTCGAACACATTTCATTTAAAATATTTACAAAACAAAAGAACGGGATCGAAAGACAACAATGACTGTCACACACACACGCGCGTGCACACACACACACACACACACACACACATACACATATGTTAGGTGACAAGTATTAAACACCTTACACTAGTTACATCTAGTATGTGAGACTCCCCGGCCACGGTGGAGGCCGTACAGATCGTACACTATGCTATGTATCCACTAGTGGTTAATGCCAATAAAAGTCTTGACTATTATTGCTCATTAATTTCTTCAATATTAGTGTTTATATATCTCATAGGTCGGCCCTCGACGACTTCCTGCTTTCTACTGATATTTAAAACTAATTAAAACTAAAGGAAGTTCATTGAATGTGTTTCTGAACAAAACCCTTTTCTATCGGACAGACAAACTCGAAGGCATCACGCGTTCGACGAGTGTTTTAGAATATTTTTTTTATAGTATTTGAATTATTTATTTTCAATATAATTATTAAATAATTCTTTATATTAACACACAATAGACCTCTCTCAGATCCAGGTCATGGGTCTATTTAATTCTCGTTCTCTATTTTCTTTATAATATATTCTGTCATCAATTCTTTTTCTTTTATCTGCCATGTCGATAACCGTCTCTGTCCGTAACCTCAGAGCACGTATGTGTTTTATCAACATTTATTATTCTTATGGAAACGTTTTAGATCACAATCGATTCAGACGAAGGAAACGTTTTATTCACAATTCTAATCACTTGTAATAATTATACTCATCCGACTGAGATCAGGACAGATTGTGATTTAACTGCTACGGACAGATTAACTACATAGAAGAACTATCCTCTGAGCCAACAGACGCTACCCGCTAATATCCATTATTGATGTATATCAGAATAATTTCTTATATATACATGTTTATTTTATTGCAGTGTGGAATACTTTTTATAAAACCCTGCAATTTTTCCTAACTTTAACGCGGAAACAAACAATTTGTGAATTAGCAACGCTTATTCATAATAACGATTGGCTTTTGTTTTAATATGATATGTTCCGTACCTACACGTCGTTATCTTAATGAGAATATTATTGTCACGTTTTTTGTCCCAAAATTATTATAAACATCTGTCCAAAAGAATAACTATTAATCATAATTATAATAAACAATGAATGATAAATCGAATTCCAACTAAAATATACTAATTACAAAGATTACTTCAGAAGTTACTATAGTGAAGTTTTTAGAGTCGTGTAAATTCATTCGGGTTTGTTTTAGACGGGAGCTGTTAAGTCTTGTTAGTCATAGAAGGCGTTCATATGATTTGAACTTTCTAGAATATTTAATGAGATGGTATTGTTTTTGCGACATTCTTAATTTCCTGAGCCCGGCTGAGAGCTAATTATCTTTTTATTGGCTAATTGCAGCTTCAAGGCAGCCATTCGAGTGCGCCTTCCTTTTACTTTACAAGTTTTTTTAGTACTTTCAATAAACACAAACGTTTAAAAGTTGAATTCTATTTACATATGAATTAAAACAAAATCTTTAAGATACTACTCGTCCAAGTTGTAGGAGTATAGCATTCCTCTTGAGTCTATAGCTTATCAAACTTCAACAGAAGTTATAATAAAAATCATTGAAACTGCTATGTAGTTATAGTATAAAAATAATAGCATTCCTTGTACAGTACTAGGTATCTACCTACAGTATGTTTAGTCTAAGGTTACATTCGTCACAACATATGCGAAGTGTTTCCTATTTCTCATCCAATAACCTTTCTTAATACTGTAATTTATATGAGAAATACTATTAACACCGCGTATGGAGAGATGAAATAAACTAACAGTTACTGTAAGGTGATGTCAGAAAACGGACTGAAGCAAAAAGACGAATTGAATCCGAAAATACAGTTCAATGTTTTTATACTGTTGTTAAAGTATTTGTATACAGAAGATCACATCCGGTCCAATACTACAAACTATAAGCAGTGGACAAAAAATGGTTCAAAATGAGTTGATAAAGATTTAATTCAACATTTATACAAATTGTTGCACATTTAAAGAATTTGCAACAAAATCAGAGTAATATTTGGATTAATTCAATACTTAACAAAAATCTTAAAATAATATTTATGTGATATAATAATTGTTTTATGTCATGATGATGGAGCGTCACGCGGATCAGATTATATAAATTAATGTCCGTGTGAGTTTTAGAACTTTAAAAGATCGGGAAGTCACAGTGCATGAATGTACAAATATAATTACAACTTAAACAAATATTGTGACTTGAAATGTTTTGTTTTCATGGTTCGTAACTCTTAAGAATTTAATGGAATGCTTATTTTTTTAAAAGAATAATACTATATTGCTGAGTTTTCGCGGCTTTGAAACAAGATACGTTGTATAATTCTACAAGTTGTCATGACTACAAGAGATGAGATCGCACCTTTCGATCCCTTTATCCGATTTATCTCTTTACCCCATGATGATAAAAATTCCCTCGCGTGTACTAATTTAACATTTTAAACAAATTTTCTATAAGTAAACTCCCTACGCTAAGTACGGTGTATTGTTTTGAAATCAAATTTCTGCTGACACTTCTTTGTTCAACAAAACAGCACAAGACAATGACAGCGAGGAAACTGAACGTATCGACGTTTACACATAGTTTGATAAACATTTGGTAGAAGTTATTTACATACTACTTTTATGACTTAGGAATCATTTCTTAACCATATTTGTAAGTCGTGTGAGGTTTATCTTTCTTGTTTCATAAACCAGTGGTTCTCTTTTTTCAATAAGCACGTTGAATGTTTTTATACGAAAAAGACACCGACGGTACGTACGAGTTCAACACACCGCGTCTGTTACACGAAGAGGGATCATGTTATAAAGAGTGTTATTGTTAGTACATTGAGAAAAAAGTGGAAAACTTTTATTATTACTATATATTTACTTTACTTTTTTGTATTAATAGTTACCGTAGATCAAGTTGTGATTAATTAAAATAATACAAAGATTCCTCACGTCTAGTCTGCGGTCTGTGTACTAACTGCTAGCGATAATAAAAATACAAGATTACAAAAGTTCCGTGTGTCATTATGTAACTCTTACTTTGTTACTTCGATTATTAGAACATGAAATAATAATCAACATTATGAATAAAACTATTTCAATATTATATGAAGTAACAAGTTGATGACAAGTACTCTTTTATTATTTGGTGAAATGTACATTAAAGTATGAACATCGTCCATACAAATGAATAAAAACAATGCAGCTTCACTTCCAATGTGTCTCACATATTATTTTTCGTCATCTGTTGGAAGCTGAGTCGAGGGTAAATATGAATTGTGGATCACAGTGTTGTGTCGAGCGTTTACAAAAATACTTTCAAAGAAAGTCTCTGAATATGATAAAACATGTTTAGTTATCAATAGTTCATTAATTAGTCGAGAAAATTTAAGGTCACGTGACAAATGAGACTTGGATGTAAAAAAAATATGAATGAGTCCAATTATGATAATAATAGATTAAAGAAATGAATGAATTAATATTAAATAGGTTTTCTTGGTTTTCTTTTTTAAAAATAACAAATTTATGACTTTTATATTAGTGTTTGCGTTGTTATAACTTATAAAAGAAATCTAATGGAGTAGTAAGTAGTTGTCGTAGGAAGGTAGTCATGTTTTGCTAACCTTCGACAGGAAGGAGCGGTGTTATGTGTTTGTATGTCTGTATCCGTGTATTGAACAAACTATATAAGCGAAGTCAGGAGGCGACATGAGGTTAGAGGCGGGTTGAAATTATTATTATTATGTTGGTGTTTTATTGAGAACATTCGTTTGTTTCTAGAATGAGACAGGATCCATAAAGACGTGCGTCAACTGATCAAGTAATAACTCGTTTGTCGATGTAAAAGTGTTTATTAAACTGTTCCGGTGATACCTTCATACACAACCTACAACGATCTCTTCCCTCTTACATCTTCTATTAAAAATACGATCAGTCAGTACTATGATAATATTTTTCTTTCAAATTGTTTACGTTTTGTTTTGTATGAAACATCAATAATTGTATTTCATAGTAGTGAGCTGTTCAATGTAATGATAGCCATAAAACTCGATTACTGACCGCCGACACATCCCTCGTGGAGAGAAAGATACATGAAATACACAAATATTACCCTCTGATAGAATGAAACGAATAACAATATAAATATTAAAAGTGACGGTCATATTAAGGTAATAATGTTATCCAAATTTAAATAAAACATGTATTCGCTAATGGTGATAAAGTGCTTCTAAATAAAAGACTACAGTTAGGAATATTTTATGTTAATCAGTAACGGTCAACACAGATATTTGGCGCGAACAATCTGAAGGCGAAATAATAGATAGTTAGCACTAGGAGACGTACATGAGGATCAAACTAAACTAGTGTTGATATAATACATTTATAATGATTACGATTTTGTGACAAATAGTTCAAAATCTTGACCATACGCAAATTGTTTAAAAATAAAACCATTAAGTATGAAAGAGAATAGTTTATTGCATCATATATACATATAATTGTATCTAACACTCAAAGTTCATTTTGTCATTTCCACGCTAGATTATACTCGATTAATATTTTTGTACTGAGTGACAAGTGAAGTCTTTGAACAGATTAAAAAATGCATACAATATTAAACGATAAATAGAAAAGTCTTCGTCACATGAAACAAGTACCTATGTGTACTTTGAGTTAACCAATACTTTTAAGACACATATCTCATATTTCTTGTTATTATTAATTTGGTTTTATGTCAAATAAATATATCAATTTTTAATTATAACAAAGTCCAATAAAAAACTTATCATTAATATGACAACAAGATAGATATTGTATATATAATAGCCACATCTAATGAGTTTTTGGTTCATAAAAAAATATTATAAAATATAAAAATAATTACAAATAATAAAACAATTATTACAAAAAATTATATTAGAAACAAAAGATTTTATTGTCATAAGGAAGCAATCACCTTCACAATTATACATTAAATGTAATTGTAAGTAAAAAAAATATGTAATTATTTTGATAACACTAATTGCTGCGAGTAACTCGTCAGTGACGCAAGTAGCCAGCTATTTACTCGTTTATACATTGACATACCTTTGATTTAATACCTTCATTTACGAGCCTTACTTCAAGATAACACGAATACCTATAATGTTTGAAATTTCACGAGGATCTTTGAATTTCTAATGTCCTCGAACCAGTCGGTCACATTCGTATGAGCTGGTTTAAGTTACAGGTTTCAGGATAAGATATAGGGTTTATCGAAAGGTCACCAAAAAAGTCAATGAGAAGTTTTTCTACTAGATGCGACTCGATTGTTTGATGCTATAGACTATTTATCTTTACCTTTCAATCAATCGTCCTTCGTTCGTTCGTCTATCAAGTTTCCAATACTTCATCCCAATCTCGACTAGTATAATCTGACCTGTACCACTTACAGTGAATTACAGACACGTCTCAATTGACGAGTGTCGTGTAAGACAACTCGACTCCCCTCCGGAGTACTTTTCCATTTCCCTTCTACACCAATATACTTACTTAGGAAAGCTAAAATTAAGGAGACCTCCGCAAGTAAAATGTATTGCCTACTTGAGAGACACGTTATATTTGCAAATGAGATGAAAACTTTCGAGACTAAAAGATTTAGAAAAACATGCTAAGACGCAAAGGAATGTGCAAGATTATGCAAATCTTTCGTGTAGAAAGTGTTGTAATTAACACTATCAAGGACAACTCACTTTATTGTCCATACGTTCAATAAAGTCACTGACTGTAGTCAAGCACTAAGTCAAATTGCCTAACAATAATGTTACATTCTTTAAATTTATCTAAGATCCAATTACTAAACATTTATTTGGGTTCATGTCAAAATTTTTATAGTTAACTGGCTAAGAGAATTTAAAGATAATTTACAAAATAAAATATGAGTTCAAAAATAGTACATAAAATAAAATGTACTTTAATAACGTTTTTTATTTTTTATATATCTTATTGAAGACTAAGATGAAGTTCAAAAGTCAAAATTAGATATCGTTTTGTAACAGACGTCATCTTTGACGTTCATGACATAATTTTTGACAGCCGCAGACATCAGTTGTCACTAATGACATTAAAAAAGTTAGACGTTTGTTAAGATTCATTAAAACTTTTAATTTTAGTTGATGCCTGATGGGGCAACCAAATAACATATTCAAAGTTATATGACATTTGTATTTCATTCTAAATTAATCAATTGCTAAAGAAGGATTGAAAATTACACGTGGACTGTCCAACTGCCATGTTTAACATTCAGTCTTGGGTATGTTTACATGCGTATATCTTTATTATGTATGTATAATAGAAAAGATATGCAGTCACTGGAAATATTACCGCTTTTACTCATAATAATGGTGGATTCATTCCAGAGATGTTAGTTTTGTCTGTGATATGTATTTTCATGTCCCTGCTTGTAGTATGTAAAAGCAACAACGTCTTAGAAAAGCCGAATCTGCATGATCATATTTCTATCATTGTTTTTATTTTCATAATTTTAGTTATGAATGCCAAGTTTCCAGTGTGTCGTTAATGGCTGTTTATCTTAACTATTAAATCTGTCCTTGACAATGGACCTGATTACCGTAACTAACCGTAGCCGATCTCGACTAATTGCAAACAGTTTTTAATTTGTTAATATTTATTGCGTTCAGTTTTCGCGATACAATGCAGCTTTTTACAGGTTTTCTGAACTCGTCGGTTGGTTTGCTACCTTCGATCATACACGGCGAAGGTTGCGACACTCTTGAATGTTACTCACCACTTGAAATATAAACATTTTCAATATTTATTATAATTACATGTCACGCCGCGCCGATCCGATCTGTTGAACAAAAGTCAACCTTAATATAAAACATGCCAGTGTTTTGTTCACGATACAGCTTTCTACTGTAACATACATATATTTTATTCGGCATACCTCGTACATTTAATACACAATATATTTATTTATATTGTTGGATACAAACGACACAATGTTACAATTAGTTCCACAGCTGTGTCTCACTTGACGTCAAATATATTCAGGTATTTAATAATGAATACAATAATTTTCATTATATTTATATTCACTCACATCCGGGACAGATTACTCCCCGCGATATACATACTTACTTTCAAAAACTATTTATGGACTTAAATGTCACGTTTATTGTATTATGATAATGTCACTCGTAATAAATAAGTGAATTTCATGATGTTTTAAGAAATTTAATCAAACATTTTAATACCATTGTGGCTTTAAAATCGATTCTGAAATGACGTTCGTGATTTATAGTACTGGCTGGTTACGGGTTGTTATCGATTTAATGAAATCGATTACTAAAAATTCTCTGTAAATAAACTACTATTTGATTTACAAAATATTTCTTAGAACCGCTTATGTTATATAAATACAAAAATATTTTCAATATATAACAATAATCAATGACAAAAATCTCGTCTATTTTATACATCGTAATAAAGTTTGTTTTTTTTAATGTATTATAAGCTGGTGTCTTGTATAAGTTATAACATGAACATGTTTCCAGCCCACAGTCACAGTCAGTACCCGCCGTTCCCTCCACCAGCTCGTCATGACTGGAAGGATGACGTGGTCAAGAGACTCCGAGCCTGCTGCTCTAAGAAGACCCTCCTTAGACGACTACCGATCCTCAGCTGGCTACCCAAGTACTCAGTGAGGAACGGCCTGGCTGACGTCATAGCAGGTAAATAGGGCTTTATTAGAGAAATATTTATAAATGTATCGGTGAATTATTATAACACGATAGAGTAGTATTCATCCACACTGCCACCGGCCGCCCGCACGCCGGCGACACGCTCCAACGAACGGTCATTTATCTCAGCTAAGTAAGCGTGGAATAGATTTGATTTACTTCGTGTTCACCGTCTCTTTGACGTACTAATAATGTTCTTACTTATAATCACATAGTTTATTACGTGAAAACGACCACATATGTACCTAGGTGTGTGATTATCGTACGTTCTAATGTAAGATGTCCATACCAATCATAATTATCAAATTAGCCCTGAAATATTCTCCGCTTATTCTTTTAGCCAGCAGAGTGAGTGTTAGCGTCACCTTAAGACAGCCGAATGTCAGAAACTCGTTTATATTCAGAGTGAACCGGTCGAGAACAAACTTCTAACACGAAATGACGTCATGTAGCTGCTAGACGTGTTTGGGTCCACTAATATGAGAGACTTAGACCCTAAATTCATTTCATATCCAACATAAAAATCTTGACCAGTTTTTTTATGAGCTCGTTCTGTCCCAGTATGTTGAACCGGGGAACAATGATCTCTACCAGTTTCCAGTCTGTTATCTTCTATTTTTCTAAGTTCGTTTCATGAAGTATGCAATATTTAAAATAACACATATAATTGTAATTCATAAACTTCAACAGACTATCTTCACATGATGCTATAACATTGTCATATCGAGTCGGTATATGTTACAATCTGAACCAACCATCCAATGACATGATCTGAAAACATTTAAAATACCGATTGTATCAAATGTTGTGCAAACGATGATTTCCCTCGACCAGGACCAGACGAGTGAACCGTGACGCTACTGACATTTATTTAATGGAATAGTTTTTGTATGTAATGTTTTGCAAGCTGTCGTCTAGCTGTACACGTTTATTATACGAGAGGTCGGGACACGTCACTACCTAGTACGGTTTACGAAACGCGTCAAATGATGATTACATTTTAAAAATCAAGATTCTTATTACTTATTATTTCATACTTAAAGGTCACGTGTCCTCGTGAGCGTTCTCTCGTTATGACTGTAACATGTTTGTACCGGGTGTCTGTAGCTGATGTTCGTGTGCAGGTATCACAGTGGGTCTGACGGTCATCCCGCAGGCGATAGCGTACGCGGGCGTGGCAGGCCTGCCGCCCCAGTACGGCCTGTACTCGTCCTTCATGGCGTGTTTCGTGTACACGGTGTTCGGCTCCGTGAAGGACTCCGCGATAGGCCCCACCGCCATCGCTGCCATCCTCACGAGGGAGAACCTCCACGGCCTGGGGCCGGAGTTCGCGGTGCTGCTCGCCTTCCTCTCAGGCTGTGTGGAACTCATCATGGGCATACTACAGCTAGGTATGTGACAGAGTGACTTAAACACACACATCGGTCACATATATTATCACGATATATAATTCAAACAAACGAGATGTATGGAATAACTTTGATATCAATACTAACATCAGAATAACAGTGTCCTCGGTACGCAAGGCGTTCAATACATATTAGAATTTGCAAGAAAACGAGAAATCTCTTTCACAAATAAATACCTACACATACTTTGTTCTCTGACAATCATATTAGTTTTATTTATTTGATCCAAAGAGGAGAACATAAACTCACATAAATATATTTTATAAAGTACGCGCATAATGCTACATTTTTATTTACCTGTTTTTTTGTTATTTAAAAAAACACAACTGTTCAGTTTCCGCCTTATTTAAGTAATAATGAAATTATATTATAAATTTAAAAAAAATATGAGATCACGTCGGAATCATTTGTGGTTAAAACGAGAGCAATAAAAAATACTGCGCCTTAGAATTATTCTGCCACCGCAAAGCTAATGTGAATCTAAAATAAAACAAACTATGTAATGGCAAGTTTTATATACAGAGTGACTGGTGAATTACTATCGATACTTGAGGACGTGATATTTGACGATCATATATGACAAAATAAAAATTAATATAACATAAATATTAATAAACTTCCAAGTAAAGTTAACCAAAAGTTATGTAATTAATTACGCATCGTGTGAACACACCCTACAGATTAGGTATACACACACACTCACACATACGCGTGCAGCGGCGTGGTGTTGTATCAGCACGCCGCCGCACGCGTCCACACTTGGAACACTTGGAACGTGTCAACACTTTATTCATTTATACGGAAATTTGGTCAAAAATTAAGTGCCTATTTTTTTTACATAATTCGAATGAGAATCATGTACCGAGTATTCTCCTTAAATATTGATAGTAATTCACCAGTCACCCTGTATATATGAAGACTATGAATCTGTTGTTAAATATTTCCCAGCTGTGTTCGTGTATTTGTTGTCAAGTTCAAGGACAGCACGTAATTAGTTTAACATTTTTTATCGCCGCTCACTCAATATATTGTAATGCGGCGGGCGGCGTCGCTGGAAGTCTTCTATTGTTTATCCTACTTAACCGCCTGCTGCGTCCAAAACGGAAGGGTTATGTTTATAATTTGTTTGTATTAGAGCGTTCTAAGATAAGTTACAGAACCTATTGTGATACATACATCGACAGATTTAACAATCACACGTGAATTTGTAGTTTTAAATACCCATTAAAGTTTCCGTCAACTTTAACATATCATAAGTTATAAACACAACTCGGCACATATAACAATAGTGTGACCACCGACCACACACTGTGACCCAAAACAATACAACAGAACCATTATTAATGATTGACTGACGATGGAAACACTTTACGAGCACACGACCACTTATGTGGTGTCTAGGAAAATAAATAAATCTGTTACATTATTTAATTAAACTGACTGAAGATAATTTTTATAGATCATTTGTCTAATTCTATATCGGTAAACATGTGAACAAAAAGTCTCTTGCCATGGACCCACGTAGTTATTAACCCTACAATGCATGATTTTTTTAATCATCTCAAAAAAATATGTGATTCTATATGGTGTCTAGACATAATAAAGTACGAAAACAATAATCAAAATCCATTGCTTTTATAGATATTCATTTATTTAATTTTGTTCCATATGTGGTACAATATGCATTTATATTTGGCTCTTAACATAGTGAGTGTTGTTTGTTCAGGTTTCCTAATCGACTTCATCAGCGGGCCGGTGTCTGTGGGCTTCACGTCAGCCGCCGCCATCATCATCGCCACCACTCAGGTCAAGGACATCCTGGGACTCAGCTTTCCTGGAGGAAAGTTCCTACAGGTAACACACTCTTACAAGTTACTGTATTGTAGCACCATGAATGTCGCTGTTGAGGAAGTATCATTTGATATTGTTCTAAACGGAATAAATATATACTAGCTGCGCCTCGCGGTGTTACCCGCGGATTTCAGGGATGTTAAGTAGCCTATGTGTTATTCCTGGACGTCAGTTTCCTGTATACAAAATTTTATCAAAATCGGTTCAGCCGTTTGAGCGTGAAGAAGTAACAAACATACACACACACCCACAAACTTTCCCAATTATAATATTAGTAGGATAATGTACCCTGGGATAAAGTAACGCTTATTACAAGAGAATTCTTGGGTCGTCTAGGAAGCACAGATCATAAGAAAGAAAATATGTAATTTGTATTGAATACTTTTCTATGTAATCATAAAGATTTTCATCAGACCACGGCCATACCTCAATCCACTTCATTGTATCTACAGTAAGCGCCTATTTCATTTGTCACGTCGTTCTCTTACAAATTCATGAAATTTTCAATAAATTGGTTTTTGTGTCAATTCCTTTGTTTTGATCATATTTTTTTGTATATTGTAATCGTCTTTTTACGAGAGTCTAAAGTAATTTATACGTCGAAGTCAGACTTTTTATTGGCCTTCGACAAACTAATTTGTTTAGAGTTGAAAACGATTTTTTTTTGTCGATTACCGGAGGGTGATGTTATGCAAGAATATAAAATGAAATGATATTTATTTCATCAGAATACATAAAAAATCATGTACTTATATAAATGGAAGTGTGAAGTAAACTTAACTATAAATTTGAGGAATATTTTCTTTTAGCATATTGTAATGATCCCTCTTAGTATATAGACCGGAACAATAATTCATCGAAGAATCAACTCTACGAAGTGTTTTTATCTGTAGTTAATAGTTCTGGAGACCGTTCTTTATATTTCTACTAATGTTTGAGTAATGTAATGAGTGTTATGTATGTGTCAGGTATGGACCGGTATGTATCAACATATCGGGGAGACCAGACTGTGGGACACTGTGCTGGGCGTCTCATGTATCGTGGTGCTGTTGTTACTCAGGGTAAGACAACACTACACTCCTTACACAACTCAACAACAACTTGAGTGACGTCATCGTTATATATACGAGTTAATAGATTGAAATGTTTTTCTTTCTTTGAAGAATTTTGATTACAATTTCTTATATTATACTATTTATATTTTACTACTATGTCTGTTGAGTTTGCTAGCATAGTTTACTCTTAGAAGACTTGTTTTGTTACATCTTTCTGTCATTATAATATATTTTATCAGTGATTAAATCACGTCTTCACCAAATACAGACGTCAGTAGTGAACATGCAGCCTTCACCCAGAGTACCTCACTATATTATAATATGTCAGTTCCGGTTCTATCGACTGATAGTTATTACATATAATCTGTCACCGTAATCAAGTTTAAAACAACATATTAACTGTTTATTAACAACGGATGTTCCTAGTTTTGAGCGAATATAATGAGTGTGTTTATAATAATTTTATCTAAGTATTAAATATTACATTGTAGAAAGTGAAGGACATAAAGATTGGCAAAGAGGCGGAGAGTAGCAAGGAGTCCCGCGTGCGGTCGTTCGTGTCTCAGTCGCTGTGGTTCCTGTCCACTACCAGGAACATCTTCGTGGTGCTCGTGTGTGCCGCGCTCGCTTACTACTTCGACACATTGAACCAACAACCCTTCGTGCTGACCGGTCAGTGATGCACATCATATGTTTAGTGTTACATATCATGACTTTTTTTTTTATCTAATTTTAATGCGAACATCCATTTACATAATTTAAATTTCAATAACAATCTACTAGTATAGTCTCCACAAAGGGAGTTCACTTCAAAAAATGTACGGCCTACGTCTTATTGTAAATCATTTTGTATGCAGGTGAGGTGAAGGCAGGTCTACCACAAATCTCCCCCCCTCCCTTCTCGGCCACAGTCGGTAACCACACGTACTCCTTCACTGAGATGTCGTCGACCCTCGGCTCCGCTATCTTCGTGGTGCCCTTACTATCCATCCTAGAAAACATCGCTCTCGCTAAGGTCTTCTGTGAGTATACTGTGTGCCTCTGGTTCCATCCCTGCTATATATATTAATTTTTGTCGAGCATCGCACTTCATTTTGAATGTACGTTTTATATTAATATTTATTTATTATCATATCAAAGTGACTTGTAAGTATATAGTATATCAAAGTCATAGTAAACATTAGTCATCGTTTCATACATATCTCTGTACCAGCGGAGGGTAAGTACGTGGACGCTACTCAGGAGATGGTTGCTCTGGGCGTGTGTAATGTGTTGGCGTCGTTCGTGGAGTCTATGCCGGTGTCGGGCGCTCTCTCCCGCGGCGCCGTCAACCACGCGTCAGGCGTCGCGACGCCCGCCGGAGGACTGTATACAGGCGCGCTCGTACTACTGGCGCTTCAGGTACACATACGGAGATACATTTCATCTATAAATACAGAGACATGTCTCTTGTCTCTTTAAGGAGCGAGTCTTTATTGTGAATGCCAATATTTCAGTACTTCACTCCCTACTTCTACTACATTCCGAAAGCCTCCCTGGCAGCCGTCATCATCGCCGCTGTAGTGTTCATGATGGAACTGCATGTCTTTAAACCGATATGGCGGACGAAGAGTGAGTTATTGATCTTTAATGAATAATATCTGGTTACCGAGCTTTGATCGGTATTTAGGAATTTTTAGTATTTATTTTGTTTTTTTTTTATTTCGTGTAGGCATTTTTAAGTGAACACGTTAAGAAGACACAAAACAAACACTCAATGACTTCCTGTTACTTAGCAACGCCATCTGCTGTTGTGTCGTTTAAAAGCAATAAGCAAAAAGTAGTATTACTATTCGCCAATAGATGTCAGGAAGAGTCATATTTTAAACGCCTTTTTATTTATTTTTTTTCATAAAACAACGTTTTCTAAAAATGATTCCTATCTAGATCAATTTATCGCCCTTGAAACCCCCATATGCTAAATTTCATGAAAATTATATCATTATATATATGTATAATTCTTAAGTGTGTCACTGAACTTGTCTCAAACGACTGGACCGATTTTGATGAAATTTTTTTTGTGTGTTCAAGGGGATCTGGGAATGGTTTAGATTCACAATTTTGTCCGCCGGGCAATGTTTTTTTAATTATTTTTTTATTTATTAGTAGTTGTTGATACAAACGTTTTTTTTGGACATTAGATTTGACAACTAACTAATACATATATACAAGAATTGCTCGTTTAAATATACAGGGTGACTGGTGAATTACTATCGATACTTGAGGACGTGATATTTGACGATCATATATGACAAAATAAAAATTAATATAACATAAATATTAATATACTTCTAAGTAAAGTTAACCAAAAGTTATGTAATTAATTACGCATCGTGTGAACACCCTACAGATTAGGTATACACACACACACACATACGCGTGCGGCGGCGTGGTGTTGTATCAGCACGCCGCACGCGTGCACGCGTCCACACTTGGAACACTTGGAACTTGTCCACTCTTTATTTATTTATACGGAAATTTGGTCAAAAATTAAGTACCTATTTTTTTTTACATAATTCGAATGAGAATGATGTACCGAGTATTCTCCTTAAATATTGATAGTAATTCACCAGTCACCCTGTATAAGATAGTAGAGTCTCCCGGGTGTAGATAATGACACAGTGGTGTATATTTCTAGAGGTGGACATAATCCCCGCCGTAGTGACGTTCACCGCGTGTCTGGTGACTCGCCTGGAGCTGGGTATCGTCCTCGGTATCGCCGTCAACTTGTTGTTCCTGCTGTACGCGTCCGCGAGGCCGGCCGTGCGCGTCACCACCGCCGTCGTCAGTATCTTCATCCTTTCCTTTACATCGTTTACTTTCCACACAACAAAGCCTCAGTTATAAAGAGTATTGTCTCCAGTCGGAGGGTGGTGTCCGGTACGCCGTGGCGACCATCGACCGCGCGCTGGCCTTCCCCGCCGCCGAGTTCGTCCGCCGCGCCCTCCGCAAGGCAGCGGGTGACGCGCCGCTGGTACTGGACGCCCACCACGTGCAGGCCGCTGACTTCACCGCCGCCAAGGTGAGTCTCTTCTCCCCCCCCCCCCCCTCCTGAGTGTGAGTCTCCTGTATCACGCGTCTAACTCTCTCCTCTTCTCGTCGCAGGGCATCGCTCAGTTGATCGAGGACTTCCACGCCCGCGGCCAGCCCCTCATCTTCTACAACGTGAAGCCCTCCATAGCGGAGGTGTTCCGCGGTGTTCGTCCTCGCCAGTTCGTTCACTGCTCGTGTCGCGCCGAGCTCGAGCGCCTGTTGTTGGAGACTCAGAGACGGAGCGACGTCCATGACAGAGTGATGACGTCACAGAACACCTTATAGAACTTACCTGGTGATGAACACACACACGACCCACTATAGTCCGAGAGCCAGGTGCAAATTTGGTTAATTATTTCTGCTACTTAGATAATTGGCGATACGCATCAGACAACAGTATCATAAAGCCCTATGACCGTCAGCTGCGGCGCAGTGGGGGGGATGAGCAGTTGTAACCTCCCACGCTTGAAGAAAAAAAAATGAATTCACTCATTTCCTATCGGCTAAAAGTTTATCAAGTTATTTCTAACCCAATACGTCAACAAAAAAAGTGTCAGCTGGCTATAACATAGTGCATTGTACGTCAGCTGACGGCTAGATCATGGGAAAAAATTTTCACTTTCAGTGATATCCTCTCGGCTAGAAATTTACCAGATGATAGTTTATATGTAACTATTGATAAATATATACGTCAGCTGGCTGTATCTCGGTGGCAAAACCGTCAGCTGATACTTTGAAGGTACGTAGCTGATACGTAGAAGTTAGCGTGAAGCATTTACTGACTATTTAAAGGCATCAGCTGACCAGGTTTCCCTCGACTTATTGCTACCTGATTTTTTTAATTTATTACAGTATTATATTTAAAATCAGCTCACAAATTTTCGTATGGGAGGAAATGACGCCTCTTTAATTATTCTTGTTATTTTTAAAAATTTAAACAACACACACATATATATAGTGTAGCATAAACAGTAGTAGCTAGTATAGCATAAACAGTATTAAGGTATGCTTGGAGGGGGTTAGTTGTGCGCATGCTCGGGGTATGAAGACCCTTTTGTTGAGGACATCGACCATGTTTTTAGAAGTAGAAAAGAAGGGGACTATTATACGTTTAGAATAGACGAGCAAAGGTTGTCTGACGAAAAGAATATTCTGGAAACATTGTTGCATCTGTGAAAACTAATGTTCGATTTTCTGATGCGTTTTACTAATTATCACTTGAGAGGAACTTGGTCATATAAATCTGTTACTGGCTCTCGGACTACTACAGATATGTAATTGTTGAGTCACATTGATCGTGTTTTAATTTAAATGGTCTGTTACAGATTCCGTGACGCCGGTGACCTACAAGACAGGGAGTGAAGCCAAAACGGAGGTAGTCAATAAAATATTTTTATATGATTATTTTTAATGACACTGTCGATATTTTGCAAACATTTGTTTTAAACGAACAGTCGTACCTTGTGATGTGTAGACAGTATTTCTAGACGTAATATTCTGAATATGTAAGTAGGTAGTTTTTATTGAAGTGATAGAGAATGTTTTAACAGTATTAGTATATGGAATTGTTGAGTCAATAAATATTATGAGACGTTGCTGTGTGTTTTCTTTTACTTGGAGGATGTCTCAAATGAAACTCATTTACTTCAGATAATTAAATGTTTATTGTTTTCATTCTCGACACAGTACACATCGGTTCGTACAAAACTTCATTTCCGTCCACCTTCACGTTACACTTTACAATATGTAATTACACTTACATCTACCTCTCGTACATCGCACGGCCCCCACGGCCGCCGCCGCCAGGAGCCGTACCGTACCACTAACTACTTGTGATATTTGTAACTCCCCGCCCGTTCTTATTCCGACCTAACCTCTTCTCTATTATAATAATTCACTACACAGTGTATATAATTGAGACTCAGACGGATCCTTGTTCAACATTACTCATCAATAGTGAGCAAGCCTGGTGGACGTTGTGTTCGCTACATCGACTCTTTCGCTCTTCACTTACCTAGTTTACATTACATGCCACTTGTAACCTTATATTTAATTAGCTATACGTGATTAAACAATAATACGACTCTTCAAAATTTTACTACGCGACTTATGCACCAAGGTTCAAAAGAATTGTTAATATTGAGCAGTGATAGATTGGCGAGCTAGCTCCCAGCACGTTACATCTTAATAAATTCGACCGGTGACGCTCTGTTCCCTGAACTCTCAATAATTAAACTAAACATTAGTCTATGTTATACGTAGGTGGAGTAAATACAATCATAATAATAATAATAATAATAGAGACGCTTAACATACAGTCCGGCTCGTCTTCCAGACGGCCGGGACGTCCAATATTTGGCATAACTAAAACGATATGACACATTATCTACGAGAACTGAACAGTCGTCCACGAGTAAAACTATCACATTATAGAACTAACATACACGCACGTACAGAACTGACTGACTCATTGTATAGTGAGCGAGTGGCCGAGTGGGCGGGACGGGGACCGAGCACTTGGTATGAATATCTTATCAAATACACGATAATTGGGTTATAATAAAGTTAAGGTTTATATATGTATACACGACGGGTCCGTCCCTCCGGCCCGCACCAACAGCGACACCCACACTTATAATATTACAAATATTCTTAAACTACTTCATATAGAACACTAGACGTCTTTATCTTAACCTCACAATATAAATGCATCCGTATCTCATAGACGCTCCCTCGCACGGATCGATTGAAGCAGTACCATGATCCGTACCAACCTACACCTACCACCTACCACCCACCGCGAGATAGAAATGATACTAATATAATATAAACAGAGAAAGCGGCACAACTTAACGACCAATAAAAGTCGCGAGGAACACAATCTCAAAGATTTTAAAAAATATTTGTGCGGAGTTAGCTCCCACGTTAACATCGAAAGATGAAAAAAATATAACAACGAGACACCTTGAGCCGAAAAACGGGGTGTGTCCGATACACTGACGAGCGTTGATGACACGCCGCCCGTGTGACGCACCCGATACAAAATAGGTAAAAGAGTAAAATAGCATACAGTCCATTAATGGCAGTTACCGTGACCGAGAACAGAACTCCCGACTCCTCCCACCACTGAACATCTACATACAGTATGACTTGACGTTTCAATAATCTACAAAAATATGTTTATCTATGGAGAATATGTTTTGAATATTTCTATGTGTGAACTATGTCTAGTGTGAACTGTCCGCCTGTAACACTTTAACTCTCCGCCCGTCTCCCTCCTCCAGAGGCCGCTCAGTACTTGAGTAGGTCGTCCTCCAGGTGTGTGAGCGCGACTTTACTGTCTATCACTGGAACAGAGACGGGGATCATTGTTAATGAACGTTCAACATGTTTGTCAAAGTCGTTTCTCTAGGCAGCACTCACTTTGGTCCGGGATAGTAGTATGGCGGAGGTCGCTCGTACTCTGTGGGTCCGTGATAGCGGGGAGGACCCTCTTCCCAGTGCCTGCAACATAGCTCATTGTGAGTCACAGTCCTCTGAGTGTATATGTGTTTATGTGTGTGTGTGTGTTTATGTGTGTGTGTTCAAGTAGCTCACTTTGGCGCCATATCATTATATCTGCGCGCGTGGTGTGTGTCGACAGGCGGCGCCAGGGCGTGCGAGGCCCCCGCTCCGTCCGGTCCCTCAGGCCTCCTCCGCGCGGGCCCCACTCCCTGGCTGGCCCCGAGCCCCCCCGGCCCCGCGCCACTTCCTCCGCCACGTTTCTCCTTGTAGGCGCTGTAACAGCGCGCCGGGCCTCAATATCTCCGCTGACAACTCCTCCGCCGGAACCGATACCATACACACTTAGAATTACAAGACCAGCTTCACTGACGGCTACTATCATGAATCTTTAACATGTCACACGATATCAAAGTTGACTCTAAAATATCTATTTTCTTTATTAATAATAATAATCAAATATACACGACAATGTGTTAAAGGCTATTACGATAGAGACGGTAGGTATCGGTTCCGGAAGTGAATTCAAAACCACACAGAATGCATATCAAAGGTAGATAGTAGATCTGCTAACAACATATCATGCATTAATAAAACATGCTAAGAAACATTTGAACAGCAAAGATTATAACAAGCGGTCCACACGACTCACATCACACTGGTGTGTACAGCGAGCGGTCAAGACTTCCGAGGATGGATGTGTCTAGTGTTGTAGTACAAGAGGACATTTAATGTTAGGAAAATTATTTATTACAATAAGAGTATTAGACACAGAGCCAACATCACAACGGACGGATTGACGCTCCTCGTACATGTTAACACAAATAAAAATATACTTATATACATCGTATGACTGTACATGAAACTTGAACCGAGAGCTCACAGCCGAAGGTGAACGGAAAGTGGACCAGAGACGTGGAGTATGTTAGAAATAAGAAGATGTCAAAAGAGAGAGTAATAATATACCATCGATAAAACAAATGTACACACACAAGCTATCAAGGCGTTACATTATTAATATTTGTTTGTGAGTGTAATAGGCATGCTGTCGTATGTAGTGTGTGGTGTCGTTGTCCGGGCGAAGTGTCGCCACACTGTGTATCGTGTACTCGTGTAGAGGAGTCATGCTCTGTTACTCATGCTACATGGCTCATGTCATGATCATTAGTTACCGTCCGTGAGCTCCTCTCCCTCCTCCCCCCTCCCGGTGCCCACCTCCCCCACTCCCCATCGATGCTCCCTTACATACTAATGACAATGATAGTTCTAACTAACACTAATGGATACACATTCTCGTACATGTTCATACATTAACCAACTACACCTAAGTCCCGGTCGTGTGGAGCCGAGCCGCTCCCTCTTATATAACTATCAATTCTCTTCAGTGCAGACAACTATGAAGCTGTTCTCATTGTACATCAATATCGACCTAAATCTATTTCCTTTACATTTGCTTCCTAGTACATAGTATTGATATGGTATACAATTTTGTTAATAATAATTCGGTTACATTTCATAATAATATACAAGCATTTTGGATATAAATAGCTTCATGTTATATATGTGAGTAATGATAATCAGATCAGTATGTAAAGCATCAAAAATACAAGTCGTTATAATATACACTACGTAATAGTTTCACCGTGATCCCTGGTGACACATCGTAAGTGGCCGCCCCCCGGTCACCACGGACCTCGACTACTGTAAGCATCACTATGTTTACAATTCCTCGACCCTGTGCGGACAGCGACTAATATATTCTTCAGTGCATACAGATAGCAAAATAATATTCCTCTGAACGTGTAGACATATAGACATCACGAGGGTTGTGAAGATCGGTGAAGGCTAGCGGGCGAGGCTTGATGAGGCGAGCACATAGCTCTTAGTGAGTGACGGCGAACAGAACATTATGTTAGAAACTATTGAACACGAGGGATAGTGTAGCTGACCGAACATGTCTGAACCTGCCTCCACACATGAGCCGTTACCGATTTCCAGAACCTAACACTCACTAACATTTGTTAGGATTTGGCAAAGCTTAACTTATTGGACCTTACATGTAAAATACTCGAAATATAAATACAGGGATACACGAAACATTGTATAGAGTTCTTACGGCTAGTATATAAAAAGTCACAACATCCAAAACGTTATAAAAGACATCGAATTTATACAACGATTAAAATGACATTCAAAAATCATTGAAAATACATCAAAATGTCTCAAAGCGAGTTATATATTAAAAACTTGACAACTTACTAAGTGCTTAGTCTAGAGTAACAACCTCTCAAATACGTTGACGTCATACAGGGTACTAGTATGTTTAGAACATGACTTGTGCGTACGACATTGATTGATCTGATCTTAACTTCGAGTTATATAAAATTGTATTTTATGTTTTTCTCAATATTATTATAAAATTTGTTTTTGAATTCAAATAAAAAAGGTCAATACAAAGTATTTAACTTACAACACACGGTAATTTTCACACGAGGAAGACTTTTCAAACAAAACGTACACGGAGTCTATAGGTCCTGCTATCACTTTTATTACAAGCAGTACCTTACTCTGTGAACCAACGATCTACACTCCGTGTTCTTCTCTAGCGGGTAGGTCCGTGTGTTGCCCCCGCCCTCCCCTCCCCCCTCCTCCGTGTGACGTCACGTCCGTCGTCTACTCCGCCTCGTGTATGCCGGACTCGTTGTCCTCGTCTTTGGCGTCGAGGCGTGTCTTGAGGTCGTCTATGAGCTGACACACCACCTCCCTCCCCTCTAGCACCACCTGTGTCCTGGTGGCCGCCCCCCCCGCGCCCTCGGCGGTCGCTCCCCCCCTCCCCCTCCACTCGGCGATCTTGCCCTCCAGGTCGAGGGTGCTTCTCTTGGAGCCGCTAGTACACACACACCGAGTACGATAGTAAGGGGCGCTCTAAGGTCTAGACGCGTCTAGAGCTACGACTATAGTCCGTCGCCGGCGAGGGCCCGCGGGGGGTCCCCGCCGGCGACCGCACGATGCGTCCTACCGCCTACCGAAATAATAACAAATAATAAAATAACTGAAATAAATGAACGGAACATGACTGAGGTCTGTCGAGTGGCGAGGGGCGGCATGCGGTGACGGCGGCCGGCGGGCTGTTAGTGACATGCGTGAACTAGAGCAGGCGGTGTTAGATGAGGCGGATACATAGATACATAGATACGTAGATACATAGATATAGATGGACACAGACACAGGCACAGGCACAGGGAGGCTCTAGCACATTCCACACCCATGCAGTGTGTGCACACTTACTTGGCGAGGGGAACGTTATCGCGGTCCGTGTACGCGTCATACAAATACTCGCTGCAACAGACAAAACGCTGGTTAGCGCGAGCTCAACGAACGACACTCGAACACGGAGGACACACAGTATATACAACTAGCAGATATATGAACAGAGGTCACGGCGGCACACACGGTGACGGTACAGTGACACACGAACAGTGACGGGCGGAGGTGCTCGTGTCGACCTGACTACTACATACACGACATGGACTACTACACGAGCCACAACACTACACCTCACGGAAAAGCTACGCTCTCTGAAAAGTAAAATGGTTATGTTGATGACGGTGAGAAAATAAATTAAAAAAACTAACGCGGGACTAGTCGCAGGCGAGACACTAGCTAGGAGACTAGCGTACACTACGGGGTGAGGAACAAGCGGGGCGCCGGGCCTCCACGGAACATGCACTAGAGGATACATCGCTCACAACAAGACAAACAAACACACACGAGTGAACGATGACTACGGCCGGCGACGGTCGAAGAGCACACGTCTCGAGCGGAACTACCAACAACCGATTACAAACGCGTCCAGTACCTACTGCATGTGTGTGGGTCTCTGTGTGTGTGTGAGGGTATGTATATGTGTGTGTGTGTGTGTGTGTGTGCGTACCGGCGGTCGCGTGACGTCACCGGTCGTGTCGGCTGCACAGCGCCTCGCACTCGCTGCGACACAACACACGCCTTACACACAGAACACTGACGGGCATGCATCGTGCACGCCGGGCGGTTCATTAAACACTACAATTCATATTCATATGTATGTATGATCGACTTCAAGGGGCGAGCGCGTTACTGAGTCGCGACATAGCAGTTAGTAGATGAGACTGTACCGACGCGGGGCCGCGGGATATAACTATATGGCGGTGAGTGAACAGAAAACAAATAATAATTACTAAAAGGATCACATGGGCCATAGTGCGCGGGCGACGGTACTCTCCGACACGGGACGGACGGGACGGAAGGGACGGGACACTACTACGGGACGGAGTGCAAACCTAGGGGAGGCTTCGACAAACTCAGACGATCAGAAACCATAGAAACTCAAACTGAACCGTAAAAAAATAAAATTTCAGAAAATAACTTAAACTATAAAATATAACGGAACATAAACGGAACAATTGCAATTTGAATTTTTTTATTTGTTCAAACATCGTCTCGAAACTGCAATCGCTCCCAACAAATAAACAATAAAGATGTCGGATGAATGATTCTTCTATCAAAATATAGAGTGTCGCGAGGAAGGAGGCGGCCGGCCTTCCTCGCGACACACGGACCCTCCGCATGGACACCGGCTTTGATAGTTAAATGAGCAGACAACAGAAGGCCGGAGTCGATGCGGAAGACTCCCGACGAACACGGAGTAATGTAAACAGAGCAGGAGATACGTACGCCTCCACCAGCGGGCCGGGGTAGGGCTCGGCGCGACGATACAGGCGGGCGAGACGCGCGGACACACACAACACGACCGGCATCAACAGGGCGCACCAACACACGGACACCCAGTAGCCGTTCTGAAACAACACGCAGTATATCCATAGAGGTCATGTTACCGAACAAAAATATTTAGACGGAAATAACTTTTTATGGATTTACTTAGACAGATGCTCTATTAATATTGGATTAATTTACAAACCACCGATTACGAATACAACGAGATTTTTAGAACAATATTCTTCACAATTAGAAACAAGAAAAAGATGTATAATTTTTGATGATTTCAATATAAATTTATTAAAAAATGATTTTATTACTAAGAAATATATTAGTATTGTTAAAGAGGCTGGCTATGATATATTAAATAAAATATACAACATTTACTGCACCAGAGAAACAGAGACATCCATATCTATTATAGATCATGTTTGTACAAATATAACTCAAAAATTTTATTTAACTATTATCGATTCACCACTGACGGATCAAAAACAAATATATTGTGAGCTAAAAAAGGTTAAACATGAATCTAAAAGGAAACTTAAATATGAAATCATAAATTACGATACCCTTTATAAGAACATTGAGGAGTCTAATTTATAATGATTATTATGATTTTAAATTATTAGAAAACTTTATTGTAACCCAAATACAGCAAAATAAACTAACTAAATATAAGATGCAAAACTTACCTAGACGTGATTGGATCAACAAAGATATTATTCAAGATATAAGTCAGCGAAACTTGTTATGGAATAAACTTAAATAAGATAAAAATAATAAGGAATTAAAATTTAACAATGAAAGAAATAAAGTTGGTGAAAATATACGAAATACTAAAGACAATTACTAATACCAAGCTTTCATAAGGTGTTCTAATGATTCAAAACGTATGTGGGACTTAATAAATTCCATAGCAGTAAATAAAATCAAAAATAAAAGCTGTGCTCCTCCAAAATTAATTATAAATAATGAGACTATTACTGAAGGAACTAACATATGTGAGTGTTTCAATCATTACTTTTTATCTATAGGCAAGGTGTTAATGAAACAAATCCCGGCTAAATATCATAATTACAACACTTATAGCGAAACTTTATCTGTACATAAATACACACAAAAACTTGAGCTACTCAAACCTTGCACGGAACAAGAGGTAATACATATATGTAATTAATAGTTTAGATTCTAACACAAGTACAGGGATTGATGGGGTTACAGCAAAATCAATAAAATGTATAAAAAACCTATTAAGTAAAAATTTAAGTAACTGTATAAATAAATCCATAAGTAAAGGAATTTTTCCAGATAATCTTAAAATTGCACGAGTAACTCCAATGTATAAATCAGGAACACAATCAGACCCTGGTAACTATCGACCTATTTCTGTGTTACCCGTTTTGTCAATTATTTGAAAAAATCATTCATAATCGCTTAAGACAATATTTAAATGATATAAACTTTTTATCACAAGCAATACGGTTTTCGTCCGAAAGCAGGAACGCTTCCTGCTACAATTGATCTCATCACTAAAATGAAAAATAACATTAATAGCAAAAATATTGTAGGAGGAGTATACATTGATTTAAAAAAAAGCGTTTGACACGGTTTCACATTCTATATTATTACAAAAAATTAGAAAAGTTGGAATAGCTGGGACCGCGTACTAAACTATTTCATCTTATCTCAGCAATGGTCAGCAAATTGTAAAAATAGATAATTTCAAAAGTAATCCAGCTCCAATCACAGGTGGAATTCCACAAAGTTAAATACTTGCTCTTTTTGTTATTTATTAATGATATGGATCAATTGCCACTGCGTGGAGAAATATCATGGTACGCGGACGATACTTGTTTATTTTATTTTGGAAAATCCATTCACAGTATTATTGAAACAGCTCAAAACGATTTAAATATCCTAAACGAATGGATTAAACGTCTCAAAAACCTCATTTATGATTTTTTTCGGCCAAAAATAAATCTATTCCTTCCCATAATGAATTGATACTTACAGTCAAACAGTCAAATAATGAAAAATACTTAGGATTAATTTTAAATAAAAATTTAACTTGGAAACCTCATATAGATTCCATACATTCCAAAATAACTTCGCTTACTGGAGCTTTACGTAAATCTGCACGGTGTATTCCTCCAAAAGTACGAAACATTATTTACAATACTTTAGTAAAACCAGTATTAGAATAGGTACTTTATAGAAATATGGGGCAACGCGGCTAAAACACACATAAAAAATTTGCAGATCTCTCAAAATAAACTTATCAAGGTCTTATTTCATATGGATTATTATACACCTACTAAAGATTTATATAAAACAACTAAAATTTTATCTATTAAACAAATTTATAAATATAATTATGTATACTTATTCGAAAAATATTAAGAATCCTTACTCATTCTCAAATTACATTTAAAACCAAAACCCATTCTTACCACACAAGGAACAGATATAACCTAGAAACACCTAAAACTCGAACCAAATACGGCATTAAAACTATTTCATCTGAAGGAGCACAGCTGTATAAGTGTTGTCAATTCTAAATCTCTAAATATATTTAAAAAACGATTAAGAACCCATATATAAGATGATTTCACTGATCTTGTTTAATATCACTACTGCTTATTGTTTGTAATCTTAATTGTAGTTATAATTTTTCCTCACCGCGGGCAGCACGAACGCCCGGCAGGCGGCGTCTCGTGTGGCGTTGAATGCGTTGCTGAGCGGCCCGCAGCGGCCCACGTCCCGCTCGGCCGCCCGCGACACCATCGACAGGTACTGCTGCAGACGCTCGCCCAGGGTCTCCGCGAACTCACGCGTCAACTGGAAACGATGATTGGACCGTCATTAGAGTTTAACACGAACCGTGACCCTCTACAGCAGGGGTGGCCAACCGGTCGATCGTGGCCAGTCAAAAATATAAATAAAAAAAATATAACGATATCTTTGACATTTGTGCTTTGATCTTAACCTAGTCAAAACTCTTAGGACATACGAAGATAGGCTCAAGTTCTTTGAACTACAGTCACTTTCGAATCGAAGACAGCTCTGTGATCTCACTTTCCTATATAAATTGGTGAATGGTGTCATTGACAGTCCCTGTTTACTAAAACAATTAAATATTAGTGCACCGGTGAGAACATTAAGACCGTCGTCTTATACTCCATTTGTAGAAAAACCTACACACTCACGTCAAGGACGCTACTCTCCGGTTAATAGATTAATGTTAAGTTACAATGCTATCTATAAATTAACAAAAAATAATTGTACTACATACTTCATCCACTATTGATAAAAAGCAATTAGATAGAAAGATGGATATTGACATATTTTGTAATAGCCTTGTGAAATTTAAATGTAATTTATTAAGTTTTTATCTAAGCGCACGGTAGTGCGCCGGCCAAGTTCCACAGGCCGGCGCATGCCGTGCACTATATTTACACGAACCGTTTCGACCCACTTTTGACCCCCCTGTAGCTCAGTGCCTATTGCAAGTACAGAGATAAAATTTTACCTACGTAATCATATACTACGAGGGGAGGTCAAAAAGTTCGCGGAATGGAGGGGATGGAGGGGGTTGATTTACTCGTCCAGGTAGTAACTTGTTCAACACCTCATTAATAGTATATATACCAAGTTTGAACCAAATCGGGTCATTAACTTTTGAGTTGTTGACCTGCAAACAAGTGAATCGGGAAGAAGTCAGTGAGTATGGAGAAAATTGAACACCGCGCCGTTATTAAGTTCCTCACCAAGCAAGGAAAATCCGCTCAGATAATTTTTGAAGAGCTGTTATCAGTTTACGCGGACTCTGCCCCTGGTAAAACCATGGTTTACAAGTGGCATGGACTTTTTAAACAAGGAAGAGAGTCCATTGAAGATGACCCCCGCTCCGGACGACCGATTGAGGCCACCACACCGAAAATCGTCGCAAAAGTAGAAAAACTTATATTGGAAGATGCCCGGTTGAAGAAGAAACGGCTTGGAGCAATGGTTAGAGTATCTGAAAAAAGCATTTTAAATATCCTACATCATCATCTTGGGATGACTAAGGTCAGTGCAAGATGGGTTCCAAGAATGCTCACGCCACTTCAAAAGAGCGAGCGTGTCGAGTGTTCTCGCCAGTTTTTGAAGCTCTGTGGAGAGAATAAGGACGAAGTTATGGACCGGATTTTTACTGGTGACGAAACGTAGGTTCACCACTATGAACCTGAATCGAAGCAAAAATCGATACAGTGGCATAAAAAAGGCACAGCTCCTCCAAAGAAGTTTAAAGTGTCATAATCGGCCGGAAAGATCATGGCGACTGTCTTTTGGAATACAGAAGGTATTTTGCTGATCAATTATAAAGATCGTGGTGTGACTATAACGGGACAGTACTACGCTTCTTTATTAGATAGATTGAAAGAAGCTATCAAGGAAAAAAGAAGAGGAAAGCTGTCAAAAGGTGTGCTCCTTTTGCACGACAACGCAACAGTCCACACGTGCCATGTTGCGACGGCTGCCATTCACCGATGCGGACTCGAAAAACTACACCACCCACCTTACAGTCTAGACTTAGTCCCCAGCGACTATTATTTGTTTTCAAAAATGAAAAAAAAGCTGCGGTGAAAAATATTTGAGAAGTCAAGTCCGCAATTTCGGCCTATTTTGATAGCCAAGATAAATAATTTTTTTCGAATGTATTAATAAATTATTTGTGAGATCCGAAAAATGTATTAAGGTTAAGGGAGACTATATTGAAAAGGAAAAATAGTTTCGTGTTAAATTTCAACCCCCTTCCCGCTCATTCCGCGAACTTATTGACCTCCCCTCGTAGTACTAAAGCAGTATGCCAAATTTCATAGATAAAGCTTCAGTAGATCCTGAAATATGACCCTGTGAAAATAGCTAATTTTGCCACTGACTCACTGACAGGTAATCAAAACCTTTATATAGGCGCTCAGCTCAGCACAATAAAATACATAATAATGAAATATTAATAATTAATAATATGAGTACATCTATCAATCGGTGATAAATGAAACTAAAAAATAAAAAATAAATATAGTTTAAAAAAAACTAAAAAACACGCTCCAATGATGAAAGAAACCGCGTGGAAACTAATTTAACCTTTACAACCTTGGAAATCAATTTAATTTAAATTGTTTAAAATAAACAATAAATGGTATTATTGAAAAAAAAGCGTGGGGCGCTTCTCAAGAAGTGATATATGAAGCTCATCACGCTTTTTTTCACAAAAATACCATTTATTGTTTGTTAATTTATTTTTAAATTAATATTATTGTGAAAAAAGTGTGGGGCGCTTCTTAAGAACTGATATATATATAAGGGATATAAAATATTGTCATGTATACATAATGTACACTGTATAACTTAATTAAATATTGCTTACCTAAAAAAATCAGGTTTCTATTGTTATAAATTACTTTCGATAGATGGCGCTAGCGGTATAATTGAATCGCGATATTGTTTTGTCTGCAGTATATATGAATGAAAGTCGATAAGGAATCGATGGTCATTTCTTTCTACACTTATGTCTTGATATCTTATATATGGTTACGATTACGATTAAATGGATCACTGATTTGACTTGCTAAAGGATTAATTTTGATATTGCTTATTGATTGATTACTTGTGTGTGTTAAAAGCACAAATTCACTCTATTTCTTTTCTACTATTCATTTACCAACGATGGAAATTGTACATCTTTCGGTGGTTGGCGGAGATATACCACATAGGGTAATTCCTAAGCCATCAGATGGTAGCTGTATGTTTCATGCTGTAAGTTATGCATTGTACGGCTGTATAGTACGATTGTATGTACGATTTCTTAAAAAAAAGTATTGAAATCTCACCAAAAACATGCCTGTTAAAAAGGGGGCCAAGTTCCAATCGGCTAATTGTTCGCCTAAAAAAGAGGTGAAATCCAATCTAATGCCAAGTTTAGATGCACTTTGAAATCAATCATAATCATCTTCATCAACAGCATGATCCACTGGTAAACATTTGCCATTCCCAAGACTCGCCACCACACCCAGTCCTCTGGCTTCCACATCCAACCACTACCCGCCACCTTATTCACGTCAACGGTCCATCTGGCCGAAATTCACTTTACCATACACCCAACTTAAAATATGGAATAGTTGTGAAAATACGTAGGTGCTTGGTTAAAAATATCTAAAATTATAATACTTCTAAATTTGAACTTGGCAGGTTAATTTAATTATTTAAATTATTAAAATTATATAAATATAAATAATTATATAACTAAATAATAAATTAATGATACAATTAATTAAGTGTTACGTACAGCACAAAAACCTGCCAAGTTCAAATTGAGAAGTATTATAATTTTAGATATTTTTAACCAAGCACCTACGTATTTTCACAACTATACCATATTTTAAGTTGGGTGTATGGTAAAGTGAATTTCGGTCAGATGGACCGTTGACGTGAATAAGGTGGCAGGTAGTGGTTGGATGTGGAAGCCAGAGGACTGGGTGTGGTGGCGAGTCTTGGGAATGGCAAATGTTTACCAGTGGATCATGCTGTTGATGAAGATGATTATGATCGATTTCAAAGTGCATCTAAACTTGGCATTAGATTGGATTTCACCTCTTTTTTAGGCGAACAATTAGCCGATTGGAACTTGGCCCCCTTTTTAACAGGCATGTTTTTGTTGAGATTCGTTATATAATTATAATGTAAAGTAATCTAATATGATGGTTGTGTGTACTGACTCATTAATTTGTTGTATTTCATTTTATTGGATATCGCAATTCTTTATTTTATTTATTAATAATAGTAAGGTACAAAATTATAAATATTTTAAATTTATTTTTTATAATACACTATTAATTATTATTTTGAAAAAATGTGTTGAATAACTTAATTCATGTTTTGGTTCGACATATTTATGTGAATCAGCATTTTCCTACGTAAAACAAACCAAAACTAAACACCGTTCTAGCTTGACAGACTCTCATGACCTGATTATGCTTAACTAGTGGAAAATGTTCAGGCGCAATGCTCACACTAATATATAGGACGCATATAATGTTAAGTAAATTTAAGAAAACTATCTCCCATGTGATATGAAAAGAAACTACTAAGACTGGTTAATAAAAAATACATGATTGTGTAACTAAACTATGAAGTTTGCAGGTTTTGTTAGTAAACAGTAGATCTAAGGTCTAATCAAGTTGGCCACCCCTGCTCTACAGGGCTGAGCTACGTGTGATACTGACGTTCTGCACCAGGTCGGGCCCCTGAGTGTTCAGGAACAGCTCCACCTCGTTGGTGTCCCTCACACACGACAGGATGGCCTCCCGCAGAGACGACTCGTTGAACCGGAGCGCGTCGCGGAGCTCGGAAGCAGTTTTCTGAAACAGAAGTAGTGTCTGCGGTCAGATGTGTGTCCGGACGAGTACACGCGGAGGACGAGTGTGAAGAGACCGACGTTGAGTTCCCTGGTCCGCTCGAGCATGGGTCCGACCACGTCCCGGTGTAGCGAGGACACGTCATCGGCGGCCGCGGACAGCTCGCCCGCCACCGTCCGGAAGCCGGGGCGGGACTGGAGCGCGCGGGACGTGGAGCGGAGCTGGGCCGCGAGCGCTTCCAGGGACAGGGACGTCACGTTGGTCTCCAGCGCGCCGAGGATGCGGTCGAAGTCGAAGTCGGACAGACCGGACGCGGCGAGCCGGTCCAGGCGAGCACGAGCGGCCGGCGCCAGGATACGGAGCGGTCGGCCGCGGGGAGGGTAGTCCGTACGGAGAGACGACACGCGAGACGACACGTCCGAGGACACGCGCTCGCGGACAGACTCCAGGTCGAAGGCGCGGCGGAGACGCAACGTCTGTGGAGAGGAGATTCCTGGTTATTAGGAGTTCAACATCCTCGGAGTGAGAGAGACGGAGATACTCACGTGGTATATGGTCCGGTTCGCGTGACAGTCCACCAGCACCGAGGTGAGGTTGAAGTCGGGGTCGGAGCGCTCGTTGTACAGAGACCGCTCCAGCTCCACGAACCGCTCCACGTCCACGAACACGCGGCTCCCGCGAGGCTCGCTGGGGAAGAAGAAGAAATATACTTTATTACACTCAAAATCATAGGAAATAACATAACATACATATAAATATAGAAAATTGAAGGCAAGGGCGGCCTTATCACTAAAAGCGATCTCTTACAGGCAACCCAACCGATGAGGATAAAAAAAAATTGTAGAGAGGGTAGTGCATATTACAACATATACACAGAAATAAATATACATACATACATACAAACATACATATATGTATAGATACATAAAATATATATATACAGTGTGACTGGTGAATTACTATCGATACTCGAGGACGTGATATTTGACGATCATATATGACAAAATAAAAATTAATATAACATAAATATTAATAAACTTCTAAGTAAAGTTAACCAAAAGTTATGTAATTAATTACGCATCGTGTGAACACCCTACAGATTAGGTATACACACACACACACACACACACACACGCGCGCGCGTGCGGCGGCGTGGTGTTGTATCAGCACGCCGCCGCACGCGTCCACACTTGGAACACTTGGAACGTGTCCACACTTTATTTATTTATACGGAAATTTGGTCAAAAATTAAGTACCTATTTTTTTTACATAATTCGAATGAGAATCATGTACCGAGTATTCTCCTTAAATATTGATAGTAATTCACCAGTCACCCTGTATATAAAGGAGTATTTAAAGTTATATATAATGAAGCTGACGTCACACATGGGGTACACAACAAACAACGGAACAATATAAATAACGTGGAGGAACTTACGACAGCGGGTCACACACGAGTCTCTGCGCCGCGAGCCCGAACACGAAGTACACGAGCATCGCCACCGCGGCCACTCCGCCCACCGCGAACGTCAGCGCCATTCCGCTGTACGGATGTCATGATTTAGTTTTAGAAATCGAATTTGATATTTTTTGTAGATAAAGTCAATCATAGTGCAATAACAACAATAATTAATTGGCTAACCAAAAATAATTTAATAATAAATTTACAAAAAACTCAGATAATGCATTTTTATCAAAGATCGCAAGTTCAAGAATTAAATATAAACTGCAATAATCAAAAGATTATAAAACAAGTTAATGTTGCTAAATTTCTTGGTGTATTCACAGATAGTCAACTATCATGGAAACCTCAAGCAGAAAAGATTTGCAAAAAACTTAACGTCTCAGCATATGCTTTACATAATTTAGCTAAAAAAGTTAAAGTTAATACCATTCTAATTGCATACCATGGTCTAGTTGTTTCTTTTTTAAGATTTGGCATTATATACTGGGGTAACTGTTGTCAAAGGGAAAGTATATTTAAGGGTCAAAAACGATGCCTTAGATCTATTTTCAACTTGAAGGTCATAGACAGCTGTATACCGATTTTTAGGAAATATAAGCTTTTAACATTTCCTTGTATATATATATTTGAAATTGCAGTCTTTGTGAAAACAAATAACCATCTTTTCCCTTCATTAAGAGAAACGAGAAATCGCGCTATAAATCTAAGGTCTCAACATCATAATCTTTTAGTAAAGTTTTTACAAATGTATAAATGAAATAAATAAATGTTTTTCTTTTATGTACAGGCAACTACAAAACTGCTTTATTGAGAAGGAACATATTATACATATATAACAAAATACCGATTGAAATAAAAGATTTAACTTATGTAAAATTTAAAAAAAACTTTAGTTTTCTTTACTAGTTAACAAGTGTTATTACTCCGTATAAACTGATTATCTTATGGATAAGACATAATTTTGTAAAAAATTGCTGAATAAAAAATGTATAAAATATATAAATTAATCATCTATCTATCTATCATTGTATCACAAATCATAGGAAATATAATATGATTGTATAGTTAATTTTAATTATGTAGTTAAATTTAATTTATAATTTCAATTGTACGAGTACTGTTGATTTGATCTTATTATTTTATTGAATTGTTAATTTTCATCTGTAAAACATTTAATATGAATTTAAAATTATAATTGCATGGTTAATTTTATTTCTAATTTTAATTGAATAGTTAATTTTAATTTATAATTTAAACCTAATATTTGCATGCCTTATGGTAGAATGTACCTGGAACTTATACAAAAATCTATTTGTACACTTATATTCTGTACCTACATTCAGAGCAAATAAATATTATTATTATTATTATGATATATGTGTAATAATATAATAGAAATATCACCATGTGATACAGGAGGCTCCAGATCCCTTGTTGCAGCAGTCACTAGCACCATACACGTCGGGTCGCTTGCCGCACACGCCGCACACCAGGCCCCACGACATCACCACCACGATCTACACACACAGAGGTCAGCGAGGATCGAGGGAACAGCCACCACACAGACAGACAGATCCACTCACCGCCAACAATGCCGCGGCCACCGCCCTGGTGGGATGTCTCACGTAGGGCCCGTAGTGTCTCAGGTGTTCCTGTAGCACGTCCGGCGCGCGCGAGGTCCTGAGCCGCTCGCTGAGGTTGCCGGCCGCCCACGTGACCTCGTCCGCGACCCTCGCCAGCCGCTCCCCGGTGGCGGCCACGGCCTCCCTGACGCGCGGCGCGTGCTGGTCCACGGTCCGCCGGATGCCCGTGAACACCTGCAGCCCGGCGCGCACGTCGCGGACCATGTCACCGTCCACCAGCCGGGACACGTTGTCCAGCAGCTCCGACACGTCCGGGATCTGACAACACACGAACACAGAGAATAAATGACCCACACGCTCTACTGACACGCTTCACACGTCTATCGAACGTATCACTCACCGTTGGAAAATATTTATCGATTATCTAATCCAGGAGGGCATGAAAGAATTTAAATGTGTTAAAACGAGAACAAAAGTTAGACTGGAAGCGAAGGGAGGGCGGGGTGGGATACCTTGTCGTACTGAATGTCGGTGTAGAGCTGGCCGATCTTGTACTTCTCCTGTAGAGTGACGCACTGAGGCTCCTGGCAGCGAGCCAGCGTGTTGAACAGCGAGGCCTTGACGCGGCGCAGACCCTCGTCCAGCGAGTCGGCACCGGCGCGCAGGGCGGCCGTGGCGGCCTGCACCCGCCGCAGCTCGTCCGGCACACGCTCCAGCGTCGAGGCGACCAGCTCGAGGCGGCGCACGGAGGTCGCGTTGGTGAACTCGTCCAGCTGCCGCAGCACCACCGCGCCGCCCGCCGCCAGCGAGCGGTTCAGCTGAGTCTCCAGCTCGCGGAAGTTATCGACGAGCAGGTGTCGCGCGTGGCCGGCGCTGGCGTCCAGGAAGGTGCGGGCGTCCCTCACGGCCGCGCGGACCACGCCGGGCGCGGCGCTCGCTCCCGTCTCCATCTGAGAGTCGGTGACGAAGGCGCACACCACGCCGAACAGGAACAGCGTCAGCAGCCCGATGAACACTATGGCGAGGATCCCCTTGAGGCAGGCGTCATACTTGCGGTCGAACGGCCGCCGCCGCCGCCCCACCCTGCACCACTGACAGCAGCACCAGAACAACCTGCCCGTCAGTTGACAATGTTATACTACACTACTAATACTACTTAACTTTATAGTTCAATTCAACGGATTAGCCTTTCGTCACTATAGTAGTAATGATATAGTTGATCATAATGACGATTCTTAAATTGAAGCTCCAAAAACCTGCCAGGAATATTTTAATCTGGTTCCTTGGGTCTGTCGGTAGTCCCAGTAATTGGAAGTTACCTTCCTCTTATGTTTTATTTAATAGTAAGGTATTTTATTTATCACATTCATTATGACCTAATCTATCTAGTATCTCTGCAGTGTAGTGTATCTGTATGTTTAATAGTATGTACCCTGAGAGCGGCAGCACGGCAGCGAACAGTATGACGAGCACAGCGACGGCCAAGGGGCCCGCGTAGTGAGCCAGCAGAGACCTCCACTCGGAGCGAGGAGACGCGAGCTCCACGTGGCCGTCTGACACAGACACGAAACCTGAAACGAACGAGCACAATATGAAACAGGACAAGACATGACACTTAGTAATAGAAATCATATTCACTTATAATATTAAGTATGTACGTAAGTTATTACTAAATGACAAGTTCACACGCACACGCACACGCGCGCACACACACACACACAAACTCTCAATTTCCTTATATACTTAATTTTTAAAAAGTTGTAATATCATAATATCATTTCATTTTTCATTCTTTTAAATATTAACAACTTTTAGTACAGTACCACTCTCTATGTGATTGTAATTTACTATTTTTATAAGAGTAGTAAAATTTACTGAATCCTGTCTGCTTGAAATGAATTGATGTCCACGATACAGGCCTAGCCTAGTGTGGACGTCAACGTTTTATTGTATATTGCATTGTAAAGTTTATACAAATGTTTAAATGAAATAAATAAATAAATATCTCATCTCCTCGTATTTTGTGTCAGGTATATAACTATATACAGATGTCCATCAAATCACTCGGTGACGATGGTTGTTCAACAGGTTACCATTAGCGATCGCTCATTGAAAATTGATGTTGATAGCAGTCATACAGACAGTTAGTTTGTTATGGAGACGAAGAGAACGTATGTATATACATAACGTAGAGAAGAGTTCAATATTATTATATTAAACCTGTTATAGCACCGTTATAATATAATCTCGTTAGTGTTGCACATCATAACGTCAAGTATTTCTATTTCTATCCTCATCCTTCGTCCTTATTATTGAAAAAAGGTTTTTCACTTACAATAATATAATAAAATACGAGACGACGTTAAAGACCAAAAAAAATATTATACGAGTATAAAGTATTATATAATTGTGTCACTAGTTAAATGAAGTTCACTCTCAACTTTCAAACTTAACATTGAGATGGAATTACGGTAGACCTACACCTTACATTTTATTGTTGACAAAATCATGCTTTTATGATTATCGTTGTACCCTAATTATATTCTCTTAATTCGTATTAAAACTTGATATAGTTTATAATGTAAGTCTGACAAACTCCTTAAGCGATGTCTACAGTTCCACAACAACTCGGCCGCGGGTTTCGAACCTTGGCCGTCGCGCGCCGTTGGAGCCCTCACACAGCACACACTACAGTTACACGAGTCGATGTAACAGGTCGTAATAGTTTTGATTCATCCGCCTACAGCTGCCAAGGTAGGACTCAACGACGCGGAGCACATCCGTGAACAACGGACTGTTACAACATTAGAGACACAGGTTGTTTAACGTCTTAATACGATCCCTGCGGATTGAATGCAAGTTACAAATAAATTACATATATACTAAAAAGTGACATATTTTTCAATTTTCTTTTTGTACAAGAGAAGTATAGTTTAAACTTAAAAAAATATATAAATAAACTTATATACAGCATTAATTATAACATCGTTTCCAGTGGGCGATTGTTGTGGGCGCAATGCAAAATATGTTTAAATAAACATGCAAAATATGTTTAAAAGCTCTTAATTTATTATCAAATTCGATAAGGAAAGAATAATTTTGTAATCTGATATTATCATAATGGTCTAGTAATTTTTAATTTTCAGTGTGTTCCAAGTTATATCGTAAATTGTATTACCGTTATCAATATTACAGATCTAACAATAAATTACTTTTCCCAGGAGTGCATCATGTCTGCTTGTTGCCGCTACTAAGTACTAAAGTGTACAACGTTCATTGTTCTTGGTCTGTGAATCAAACCCCGGTGTGAGGAGCTGGTCCTACTCATTGTTATTGTTACCAACTCCACTCCACCATGTTCGATGGTTTCATCGAGTTCAAGGACATCAGATAACTTTATAATCGTATGTGACCAGCTCGCTGGCTTCATTGTAATGTAACGTACAGTAGTGAGAAGAGAGTTATTTTTAATACAATTTTGAGCCAAACGTCCCGGGCAGGACGTCGCTGTGCTCGGCGCCGGATGAGACGGGACAGGACGCGGGAGGGGAGGAGGGGAGAGGGGAGCAGCAGCCCTTTGTGAGAGACGGTGGATCAATACACGCCGCCCTCCGCCACCCTCCGGCCGGGGCAGACGACGCCCCGGTATGTGACTAGCGCTACACGGACACACGTGTTAAACGAATGTTCAATGCACTGGCTCGTTATAGATCCACTCGCTTCTCCTAGCATTTCATGTATTATACGAGGTGTGCTTCTTTTTATCCGCCTTATCATAAGCCGTCGTAAATTTTTATATCAATTTCCATTTTATTATAGTGTTTATCGCATTACGATGTTCATACATCGTCATGGAAATCTGTTTATGTGAATATGTTTTAATAATTCGTATGTTATATAATAACGATATGGATTAATATTTTAAAATATTTTGGTTCTGTTTTTATTCAACTGTGTAAAATGTCCTTTCGTCCGAGCTTAATCAACCTTTAGAACCCCTCTCACCAACGGATACGCAATAAGTTATTATTATATATAAGAAACGTTAAGAGAAACTAAACAACAGTATATTGATACATTGGTAATAGCAGTGTAGGACGAGTCTGAGTCTGCGAGGAATCTATGAACGTTTAATAAGTAATTCCCATGTAGTGGGGGTGAGTGACCGAGGACTAGGGATGACACGAGTCGTAATATAAAAATAGGAATAATAAAATATCCTTCATTAGGTAAGTTATAAAGATGTTGTCTGAACTTTAAAACCAGCTCTATAACAACACCTAACTGGTTGAGCTTGATTCGATAAAATGTCAGCCATCTCTCTGAGATAGAGATGTTCCGCTCTCTGAAATATCTTTTACTACGAGTGACTCCACTTGACAGGTCACTTTAATACTCACACAGTAGTTCATCATTCAAATACTGTGATACACTTAAAGTATTGTTTAATATGAAAAGTAACCTAGCTTGAGCTACCCTTTACACGTAATAAAACACTTTTATTACAACTTTATTCCATTTATCACTTTAATTTTTTTATAACAAGTTCCTCTTTTCTATAAAGTGGCTCAGGTTTAATGATATCTTTATGTTTATACAAATTCCGGTTTTTCAGGTATTTATATTTGTCTCGTTGCGAATAAGCAAATATCTACAAACGTCCCGGGAACCAAGAGCCGACCCACCAAGGGTTTATTCATCTTTTAAAGACGAAGTATCCGCTTGGAGCGGTACACTTGATTAAAGTTAACAGGACTCGATGCTTAGCAAGATACATACATAGTATTAACAAACGGAAGTAACGTCAGGAACAACTAGCCATGATTTATACGAGTTAGATATCTTATAATAAATATAGATTTTATACTGACTCAGAAGGTCATCCAGCTTTCTAAAATATGTATAAGAGTCGCCTCTCATGTCTTCAAATGGAGTTATTTATTTTAATTTTCTATATCTGTTATAGTGAGTGTCGCATTAGTTTCCGATCATTGTTATTATATTTAAAAGGCAACAAGTGACTCAACAGAAAATGAACAACTCTGACTCAGTCGGTTGTTGAACACAAGACACTATAATAAGAAATGTAACTGTTGCTGGGACGTATAAGAAGCTGGTCTTATCAGTCGCCGACACCTCGTTATCAGTACAGTTAAGACAACCGGGAGATAGAGGAGTGGGGGGTAGGGATGGGGGGCTATGTAGAGGTGAATGTTTATGTGGTACACAACGATATGTGATTTGTGATATTTAAAGCACGTTACCTTCCTCCACCGACCACCACCGAGTCAGCGAGGCACACTACTGACACACATTTATTATTTATATTTGCTTTCTCGACATTTTACTGTTCCACTTAAACAGAGCCGGCGCGCCTTCAATAACTTGTTTTATTTTTAAAACGTACGTAATCAATGTGTAAGTTGTAAACTTACTTCCGACACATTGTCTCGCTAGTCTCAACAACTTTTACAATTATTTATTTTTATACCAACATTATAGGATTAATAGGAGCTGATAAATAATTGCAATAGATGAATTATTTTTCAAATTTTTTGATACCTTTATTTTATTAACGAGAACGCACAAATGAATTGCTATCGAACTATGTACTTAAAACTTTTAATATCTAAAGATACTTCTGATTACAAAAATAGATACAAATTTATAGTAATACGACTAAGTATGTGTACCAATATTTTTTTAAGGTCTTAAGTTTTAGTCTCGTTCATTATGAAGTAATTCTCAGAACACATATATTATCAACTGTAACGAGTCAGATATCGTCAAATTTATTTCCTGTCTGTACATGATTCTCTCCTTATATAATACTATAACATATCTTCTTACTTTGTGTCTATTGTTTTTTCTGATCGTTACTCATCCCTAACATCAAGTACACTTCACGGGTCACCCTTTACCAATGTTTATCTTTTACTTTTTCTGTAACTTCGTTTGATGAATTGTTTCAAAATTAAACCCGGAGAAGTTAATTAATTAAAGTGACGGTGATAACTATGAGGAGTGTGTGAGCTGGTCCATGTTTTATATTAATGAGGCCATGTTAACTTGTTATTGAATTACGTATGATGTAATATGTATGGGGAGTAGAGACGAGATGAGCCGTGACGGGAGCTTCGTGTGATAACTACTGCACTAGAATATTATGTTACTTATAATGTAAAGTGACATACACTATGCCGATGTATCAGTCGCAGACTAAAATGTATATAGACCAGTGCCGATAGCTTTTAAAACATTAATAAATTATAGTAGAATGAAACTCATTAGAAAAGGAGAGGAATATTATAAAAATTAAAGGAAAAATAATTTACGGGCGATCTGAGGTCGGGAAAGGTACGGGGATGGGTATTTAAGGGTAAAATATGGGTTTTCTCGATTTCCGGCAAAACTAAAAGTCCTACGGAAAATTGTTATATGGCAAAGTTGTAGGTAATAAAAAGACCTAAAACTTTTATACTAATATTTTTTTCACATAACCTTAAAATTTATGTGAAAAGTTCTAAAAACCAAGTTTTTGGTTTTTTATTTTTATCTCTTACAAAAAACA